ATCAATTACCTAACTAGAAGTTAAGTCGGACCACGAAGCCGGTTTTTAGTTTAGGTATTTTAGTATTTGGGAAATGATTTTAATTTGAAATAGAATTTATCTTTAAATGATGAGTTGTGTAAATTGACGAGAAACCATTTTTTTTTTAAAATAAAGATGATGCACTACCACCCTTAATGGATAACCGACAAACCGACGAAATCTCTGTTATTTACTTGAAAAAATGGCGAAAGCTTCTGCTGGCGAATCGATCGAACAAGTTGAAACAAGTTATAGTAGTGATGAGAATAAGATATATTATTTGTGGCTTTATAAGTAAAACATCTTTGGCTATAAACATCTCAAAACTTAGATTCTAAAAAGAAAACGTGGGAAAATCTTAAAAGCAAATTGAAAAAACACGCAAAAAAATTTTGCAAGCAACAAGCTAAAGACAACAGAATTGAAGAATATAAACTAAAAAAAAATTTAAAAACGCAATCACCTAAACCCGCGCATGCAAATTTTAGGCGCTGACATCAAAAACAAACTAAAAATTTTTGAGCATATGGCGCGTCGATAAGAGCAAAAACTAAATGGCAAACTGCACAGTCGTTTAAAAGCGCTGTTTAGGTACGCATGCGTAAGAAAATACGAAAAACTTTTGAACTTTTAAAATGGCTACGGTTCTTAACTTTGTTGCAACTTTTCTGTTACAATAGTATAAGAATTTCCAGACAAAGACTTTATTTTTGTTCAAGTTTTTGTTTTAATAGATGATTGTTTGTTAGATGTTGTTTCTTGAAGCATTCATTATTCATAGTTTGTGAAGTAAAATATAAAAAGGTAGAAAAATATGAACAAAACAGCATGCACAAGAATAGCTGCAAAACATTTAAACGTTGCACTGTAATTTTCCTTTTGGGTGCAGTTTTTTAAAAAGTTTTTATTTGAGTTATTTGGTGTCTGAAAGTTTGAAAATATAAACTTCTTTAAAGACATTGAATTTCGTTGTGACTTGGGACCATTGATATTTAGACGCGATCATATCAGGGTTGCCAGGTTTTTAACGTAAGCATTTCTTTCATTTCTTAAATTTGATTGTTCTTCTATAAAATGAAAAAAATGGAAATCTTTCTTTCCCTTAAATTAACGTTTTTCATGAAATAAAAACTTGATTAAACTGATTTATTATTAAATAAATCAGATTTTGAAAAACATACCAGAACAAAAGAAAAAAGACCAGAGACTTTAAAATAAACCAGATTTAAGCCAGGCTTGAAAAAACATCAGATGGCAACCCTGGATCATATAGTCATTCTAAAGACGAAGCTAATAAAATTTTGGTTGTTGTTCAGTTAAAAAAAACTCTATTAAATTATTTTTTGAGTAATTTTAATTATGGTGCATACAATTACACAAAAAGATAAAAAACTGGTACAGATAAATTATTTTACGGATAAGAGTTTAAATTTATTACTTAATATTCAGAAATAATAACTTTTATTAATAATTAAAAATGATTTAAAGCAAAACATAGTAATTAATATATTTAGTCTTTATTAGAATATATTCCATTAAAATAAATTTTAGGGGCAGTCCATAAAAAACGCCACTATTTTTTAGATAATTTTTGACCCCTCTTTCACCTTTGTTACCAGTTACCCTTTTTTTTATATACCCCTTTTAAAACAGATGTTATAAAATTGCCCCGCCCACCCTTTTATTTTTAAAACAACATTTGTTCTTAATTTAAGCCTTTTTATTGAAATTTTTCACATGAATTACATTTTCCTGTGTTTGAATATCACTAAATAACTTATTGGGTATTTCTACGTTTGTTTCAGTCGTTTGTTTTTGTGGAAAAAAAAAATTTATTATACTCTTATTCTGTATACTAAATTTAATCAAAGCGTGTCATGGGTCTCCATTTCGATTTCGTCCTCATTGAACCATTCAGCAAAGGCAGCGTTATACCGCAATTAGGGCTATTACCTCTCTTTTTCACTTTTTCAATAATGCAAACAAATCTTACTTGTGAGAGGGTAATAACATTTGGTTAATGAATTTGGATTGAGTAATGCTAATATGCTTTTTGAGCATGGCTTGTGAGGCAAAGTACATCTAACGGTCCTTACAATCTCTGAGACAAACTTGATTGCTCAGAAGAACAAACAGATCGTAAGGAGGAAGTTTGAATGATTTCAATGATCGAAGAATGGTGCTTTGAATATTGAAGGCGATAATAAAATATAAGAAAAAGGAAAACGACTTTTGCTAGTGACCTCTGAAACGGCAACGGCTACGGCTTTTAAGTCAAGACTGGCAGATTGGAATAGGTAAAGGAAGAAATTGACAGGGAATAACATGGAGTTAAGAACTTCTTTTCAAAGGTCATCCAGGAATCTTAAATTTCACAATTTCCATGAAAGATTGGCTGGTGCGACATGAGAGGAAAATCATTCCGAACCTTCGATAAATGATGACGAGCATCGAGCTCCGTCTTGCCGACTGGATCAATATACTGAAACACCGTTGGAAACTGATCAATTATCAGACCTGAAAATTGTTGCTCAGATCTTTTTAGCGTAATTAAAATTCTATTTTTCTAAAAGAAGATCCACTTTCCTACCTTGAGTATAAGTAGCAATTCAGCTAATTAGGTCAAAGGTATTCTGTAATGGAATCGAACTCTGGCAGTCAAAAGTTGTTTTAAGTCGCCTCCATGAGCAGATGCTTTCAATGATGAATCTTTTCCAAATCGAATAACATCATAAGTGGGACCAAAAAAAGGAAACTGCATCATATTTTCCCAGCCCGTCTAGTATGACTTCTGGTAATGCCTTTGTATGACGGGGTGAGTTTGTGCTTTCTGGCGATGACCCAATTATGATCAGGAAAAGAAACATGTTATTACGTATGCATTAATATAGGATCTTGTTTGTTAGCAGCGGTGATTTCCATTAGGATCCAAGCTTTATTGCATTGACTTATAAAGCACACATCCTTGAGGCCTAAAAAAGAGCAAACCTCTTCCACAGTTCTTATAGTTGCTGTACAAATTGGATCATCCACATGACTTGAATAAAGATTGTTTTAAGCTCGCATCAACTTGATTAGAATCATGAGAACTTATCTCTTTCCTTCAAATAATTTGCTCTATTTACTCTATTTTTTTTGTTTTTTTTTGTTTATTTGAATATTTATATATATAGGATTTGAACCCGTATTGAACAACAGTCCGGGTTTTAACTTTTCGTTTGAGGCTCTAACCAACTGAGCTATCCAGCCATCCATTAAAATCCAATAAAAATCCTGTTGGGGTAAAGGTGATGCGGCGCGGGGCTCCCTGCGATAGCCGCCACAGGGGGTCCGTTTAGGCTGGGGGGAAGGGTTTTGAGAATAAATGCGCAAAAAGTAAAGTTTTTAAAATACATAGTATAATAAGGTTATTCTATGTAAATATGTACGATATACAACTTTAACTGTGTAGATTCTGTTGAATGTAAATACAAATTAAAATAAAAAACAGCAGTGCAAAACTTTAGGATTTCTTTGTAAAAGTAAGCAACTAGTTGACGTATTAAAATGGAGGAGGAACGCGCAGTATGATAGGTTCGTTTATAGAGCGAAATACTCTGGGGCTAGTCATGTTAGGAATCAGTAATTATTTAACCGCCTATTATTGAGTTTTAAACAATTTCATTTGTTTCCAGGGTTGCCATCTGGTATTTTTTAAAGCCAGATTTCTCAAAACTGGTTTGTTTTTTTATCGTTTGGCTTGGAACTTTTGTTTTGGTTTATTTTAAAAAATTTGGCTTAAATCTGGTTAATTTTAAAGTCTTTGGTCTTTTTTTGTTTTTTCTGGTATGTTTTTTAAAATCTTATTTATTTAATAATAAATCAATTTAATCAAGTTTTTGTTTCATGAAAAAAGTTAATTTGAGGGAAAGAAAGATTTTCATTTTTTCGTTTTATAGAAGAATAATCAAGTTTAAGATAAATGAAAGAAATGCTTACGTTAAAATCTTAAAATGTTAAAAACTTTTAGTTGTAATGTCATTAAAATGTTGTTTTTATCCTTTAATTTTCAAAAATAATAGAAAGTTCTTACATTCAAAATGACATTTATTGAGAAAAATCTGCTTGTAATGAATGAGCGAGTCTAAAAACATTTAAGAAAAATGAGTTTCTAAAAACACCGCTAAATTCTAAACTGCTTCGTGAGACCATTTAGAAGTTTCCGGAGACCTAGACCTCTGCAACATAGATGCCTACTGCCTTGGCTGTCTATGAGTTCCGTTTCTAAATATCTATTTGAGTCTTCTCACAGATCATCTGCATAAAAATAAGACTAAGAAAATATCAAACCAAGTTTTGCATGCAGTCATTTGGATTAAATAATATTTAATAAGGCGAAAGATTTTTTACCAGGACTTTAAAATAATTGAGTCAATTATCGCAAAGGTTGGAAAAAAAAATCTATATGCATTTGCAAGCGAATATATATATATATATATATATATATATATATATATATATATATATATATATATATATATATATATATATATATATATATATATATATATATATATATATATATATATATATATATACCTTAGAGGTTGATATAGTCGGATTTACTATAGGTGTTTGTGAGTGAACTACTTTTCCCACGCTGCTTTGAAGGCTGGACTGGCACCCCATTAAACATTCACCAAATCGTTCTTCTACTTATCCCTCACTCTCTTAAAAATTAAAATTTAATATTCAAGGATGAATTTTTGGATAAAAAAGCATTTTTTTTTCAGAATATAAATTATAAACAAGGCTTTAAAACAAAAAGTTAGGATTTTTTTTTTGGTCAGGTTTTTTTTTGATTTATTTTTATTTCGTTTTTGGCTTATGTTCGAAAAAAAACCTGGCAACTCTTTTTTTATTGAAACATATTGTTTTAAAAGAAGAAAGGTGGGAGGGAAAGTAGCAGAGAGTGCGAGGAAAGAGGAAAGTAGGAATTGAGAAAAACCCATTTGTGGTTCCTAACAAAAACGCCAATATCGCTCCATTCTTCGACAACGGTAAAACCATAATATAAACATAACGGCAATCAGTTACAGTATTTGTCAACACATGATTTATCTCTTGTTTCTATTAAATTAAATTATGAGCTCCAAAGGTTATTCGACAATTCAGGTAAATTACTATTATTTTTAATTTTTAAATTTTATTCATGTTTATGTTTATTGATTTTTTTTACTTATTCTTCTTTTGTTGTTTTTTTATTGTAAATATTAACAATTAGAGTAATTATTTTGTTATTTACCGAATTATTTGTGTTGATAAATTTTATTTATCTACAATTTCTGTTTAATTTTTAATTATCTAGTTTTTTAAAAATCACTGTACTGTTGTTTATACTTTTTATATCTATTTCAAAATATTTTTCCTCTTTTTCTAAATTTTAATTGTGAGTTTTAATAAGTTTTCAGTTTTTTTTTCCTATTATTAACAACAAGTTTAAACACTAATAAAATTGGATAATAACATTATATTTACCTAGTTTAAATTTATTGTAAAAACTATTTTGAATATATCTAATTATGTTAAATAAAATCTGTTAAATTTTTATTACTATACATAATTGGAAAGTAATTAAATGCAGTTTTCCTAATGTTGTTTAAAAGTGAATCATATTCTACAAAAAGTTAAAATTTTTATGTATTAAATTTTGATGACAAATACTATAACCAAATTTTGAGTAGTTGTTTGTTTTTTTAATATAAAATGTGATAAGTTTGTCAGTTCTTATTAAAATGCATACAAGTTTGTATCAAAAGAAAGATTGTCCTAAGCAGTAATAAATTCTTAATACTTAGAGCTTTATTAGGTTCTTTTTTTATTTTAACTTTTTTTGTAACCTTAAGTGCTTTAGTAAGCAAATTTAATATATAGTCTTAAATTAAATTTTACTGCAAAAAAAATAATGAGCTGTTTACTTCAGGTCGTGGACTGATTTTTTAAAATTAGGTATTTTAAAAAATCAGTCCACGTACATGCTTTGATGGAAGAGGGCGTATACTGCCTTCCGCCCCCCTCTGCCATGAACCTGAAAAAAAAAATTATGAAAATTTCACAAAAAAATGCTTTTTTAAAAAACAGAGAAAAATTTGTATAAAAAAATATTTTAATACATTACAAAATGCGTCTAAGTAACCATTTTATAATGTAAAAGGACAGATTACCCACTCCAACCTAAAAAAAATAACATGAAAACAACAAGTCTTTTGAAATAAAAAAGTGTATAGTATGTATAAATTGCCTTTATGCAGCCTCTTCCATAAAGGCAATTTATACACCTAGAGGTGTTTGAAAAACTATTTCGAGTGCTGTTTAATAATTCATTATTAAAAATTGTTGAGTTAATTTTCAATTGAGTAAAAAAGATACAGTATTTATATACTACTAAATAACAATAAAAATAATTAAATTATATGTACTTAATGTTATCAGGTAATAATGATGTCAATTTTTTAATAAACAAATATTGAACCTTATCCTAGTAAATTATCTTGACATTATTTTTTTAAATGAAATTTGACAGGTAGCAGAAATAGTTTTTAAAGATGCTAGATCAGAAAAACAAGAGAACATACTTTTGATATAAACTTGATAAAGTAAGTGCAACAAATATTTTGGTATCAATAAAATTAAAAACATGCAGTTTACAATAAAAGTTCATGTTTAACCTTAAATAAAACTTAAATATTATTTATCTAAAGTATTTTGAAACAAAAAATAATTATAATTTAGTATATAAATAAGTATATGATAAATAAAAAGTGTTAATATACTCGAAAAAAGTTTGACGCACTTTATTTTAATAATACATTATTTTAGTCATAAATAACATTACTTGTTTAAAAATTTGATGTATTATTTTAAATAATCAAAATAATCATGAAATATTATGAAATATTGAATAAAATATAATGACATGAAATATTATTAATTGTTACTAGATTTTTATTTAATTTTTAGCTACTTGATCAAAGTGATTCTGATGATGAAAAAATAATTGTTCAAAAAGAAAAAAATCACTTTGAGTTTCAAGGTACTTTTTTTTCAAACTTTTTTTCAAATCAAAAATATTGCTAAATCTGATAGTTTTTAAAAACTTTTATAATTTTTTTTTACATTAAAAATATTCTTGATTCCTAAGAGACCATTGTTATAAATTTAATAGTTTTAAAAAACAGAACCTAATAAATTTTTACATTTTTAGAACTCTAAAAATTTAAAAAAGCTTAGTAACTACTATTGGAAAAAAACAGGAAAAAACGGGAAAAAAGGCTTTTAGGTTATTTGAACAATAGATTTTTTAAACCTAGAGTTTTTATATATTATGGATTCCAGGATTCCAGGCTAAAAACAATAGGTTTTAAGTTTTTTAAATTAAATCTCATGATTTTTTTTGTTATTTCAGATCATTAATCAACCAACATTTTTAGGATTCCTTGACACCAGAGATCAAGAACAAATAGCGTTTAAGCTGGAGTCCTTTTAGGACTTTGCACCCCTACTTTAAAACATTTGCTGTTATAAAGACTTGATATATGTTTCTGACACACAAAAAATACATTTAGACTTTTTATTGTTAAATTTTCCATTACTACTCTTCCAATGTCCAAATTTTTTTTTTCCTTAACATTTTTTAAAACTACAATGTCAACTGCATGCTAAGTTATTAAAATGATCTTTTATTATTTTTGCATCTTTTTTATTAATATTATTTTTGCACCTACGCTTCATTACTTAGTTAAGCTTAAAGATATAATTTTATACTTTTTTGTTTTTTTGACTAGGAAGATTAGAAATGCATATTACAAGTATAAAAACCAAAAATGAAAAATAAGTATGTATTAAGTAATTAAAATATACTTATATTTCCTTTATAAAAAGTTGTTCGAAAAATATTTTTGAAACTTTTTACTTGTTATCCATAAACAATTTTTTTTTTTTAAATTTGATGAAAAATTATCTTGATTTTTATCACCTTAACTCCCTAATCAGGTAAAACTTGTGCAAAAATCTATTCTGTTTTGCATGCAGTACACAACATTTCTCATTGAATTAGTGTAATAAAAATGTTCTACCCATCTCATAGGGTTTAACACAATTGGTAAATTCTATGAGATAGGTAGAAATTGGTTATGTTGTTAATTCAGGTCTAGGGCGTTACTTACACAGACTTTCTTCAAAAAAAAATCAAGAAATCTTTTTTTAATACTGTTTGATGAAAACCTAAATGATTTTTTCCATATTGTCTAAATATTTGGTTTTGGAACAGCAATCTAAATTGTGTTGAATCCAGATACTCAAGTTTGTTGAATCCAGACTCAATTTTTATGAAAGTAGAACTACAACTCTGAAATAATTTATAGCATAAATCTGACACAACTGTATATGGAAGGCCCAAGTGTACTGTTTATTTCTTTGTCTTATTGAAAAGCAGCATGATAAACAAGAGCTGTATAAACTTATTAACATTAAGAGTTGCAACCTTCATTTGCAACCTTCATTTGCAACCTTCATTTGCAACCTTCATTTGCAACCTTCATTTGCAACCTTCATTTGCAACCTTCATTTGCAACCTTCATTTGCAACCTTCATTTGCAACCTTCATTTGCAACCTTCATTTGCAACCTTCATTTGCAACTCCCAACAATAAGTAGTTTATAACTCCATTTATAATTTCAAATTGCAATCTGGTTTTCAATCTGCTAAATGAAATTTATAAAAGCTTTATACATTTTTTTTTAAATTCTCCTGCCAAAAGAGGTCGTTTTGTAACTTTCCCTGTGAATTTAGCTCAATAGACTTGGTCAAAAACCAAAAAGTTGAGAGATTATGTTTAATTTGGGCAAATATTAAAAAAATGTTAAGTATTCGGAAGCTTTTCCTAAATGTAAACAACCAAAATGTAAGAGTTATGTAGTGTAAGTAGATTTAAGATAAATTTATTTTCACTAAATTAAGGTTTTTTGGTTTGATTGCTAGTTTATTGCAAAAAATCTAAGTGACAGATTCAGACAGATGTCCTGATGTCATCTCTTTAAAGATTTGTTTTCAACTAATAAAAGCTTAATGAGTTTAATAGTCAAATCTTTTAGGCAGCATTTTCAATGGGAGCTAACTTCTGCAATTTATTTTCACTTAAAAAGGTGAACTCTCTACCGTTAAAATTGATGGCAATTGCATCTGCTTTAGAATATAACATTATAGAATAGAGGAGAGAGGATGCGTTGTCTCTAGATATGATTTATAGATTCATGAAAGGTTGTCGATTTATCATTGAAATTCTTCATCGAAGTTCATTGAAACTGGAAAAAAAAAGCTGATCTTCTTTAGCAATTGAAATCTGCACTTCTTTTAAATCTTTCTTGCTTGCATATCTTTTTAAATAATCGTGATCTTGCTTTTACACAATTCTCGAAGTTTATATAATATAATTATTAATTATTGAATAAAAAAGTTCATCTCATCTTTTACTAACATTTAATAAATTTCACATTGGAAATCATTTATACCAATTTTTTTTTAAAACCATTGAAGTTAGTGTAAATACAAGGTTTTGTCAAAAGTATTGATACTAAAAGTATTGACAAAATCTCTGCTTTCAGCTTTTGCTGCAGAATATTATTAGCATTTTGACTTTTAAACATACTTTCACTTGAAATATCTTTTACAACTTCCTCGACCTCAGTACTGCTACTGTCACCACTAGATGTATGAATCCTTTTAAATAATTTTACTGCTAAAACAATGGCGGCAGATTTCGAAGTATATTCAAAATATTTAGTACAATGTGTAGTATTGCCTGTTTCTAAGAAGATTATTAATGTCATAAGAATTTTATCTTGATGTTCATTCGTTCACATTTTTATCTTTTTTGATAAATTTTTACTTATATTGATTTGTAACTGATCTAAGCTTAAGTAAAATATTGTTTTTGACTGCATAGAATTTTATTATTTTTATAATTCTTTTTAGGTTTTATAGTTTCTTGAAAATTTATAGTGATATCTATGATTTTAATGTCTTCCCCTAGCTTGCAGATTATGTTAGCATCTTCAAAACTATTTGTATTCAACTCATCATCAATGCTTTTGACAGTTTCACTTTCACTATCTTAGCTAACATCTACATAATCTGTTACTTCTTCATTTTCTTCACAAAATTTTGATTGTTATTTTTTATACAGTACATCAGTTATAAACAAACCGTGGTTATAACAAAGTTGAGATATGATGCCTAATAGCCTTCCATACTTGACCATAATGGTGGCTCCATCATGTGTTGATGGTATTATATCTAGAGATGTGACGCGTTTTTTTGGTTCTTGTTTTTTTGGATTTTTTGGTCGTTTTTTTGGAAAAAAAACATAGGGGTTCGTTTTTTTTTTGGTTTTTTTGGGAAATATTTAAAAATTCATTGTTTAAGTTACTAAATTTAACTTTAATGGCAATATCTTAATTCATATTTTAATTTCTGATTTAAATAGGACAATAAATACTGAAATTTACTGAATTAATTTTTGTTTTGGTATATTAACACGGTTAAAGCAGGCTTGGTCGGAAAGCGGGTGCGATTGCACTCGATAACTGACCATGGAAATAATGTTTAGTTACGAAAAACCGGCCAGATTTTTTAGTCGTTTTGAGAACATTTAATTTTATGTATGTTTCCTTGTTTGCCCGCAAAATAATAAGTTAATTTTATTGTAAATTTTAAAATACTTTGTTTTACGGACATACATGGAAATATACATAAACTCGAATGATCTCAAACATCTTCGTGCGGAAAAATAAAAAAAGAATATTCGCAAACACAATAACCCGGCAAATCTACGAACAACTAATTCTATTGGTTCAAAAAATACTAATCGAAATTTCTATTCAAAAAATATTCAACTAATACTAAGCGAATGTCCTGTGAAATATTTAAATCCTGTGAAATATTTAAATACTAAGCGAATGTCCTGTGAAATATTTAGTTGTATTATTTGAATTTTGTTTTCGTTGAGATTTCTAGCATAAATTATTTTAAGAATATATTATCAAATTAACTATTATTTTAATTCTTAGAGCCACATCTACAAAGCTATAAATGATTTTAAACTAACATTATTTGTTTACTATAATAAATGTTTTAAATTTATATTTTTTAACTTGTCAACATTTTGTAAATATATTATAGATTTTATTAGTATATTCTTATTTTTTATGTATAAGGGATGTATTTTTTATGTGTGTAATGTATTTTTATCAGTGGCGGATCAAGGGGGAGGGGCTAGGGGGGACTATAGCCCTGGGCCCCGCAAATTTAGGGGCCCCAAAAAATTTTAAAGGATTTTTTTTTTTTAAGTCATTTTTAGGCTCTGGCCCATAAAAAGGCCTCCAAAAACAAAAATAGCCCTGGGCCCCAAGAAGTCTTAATCCGCCACTGATTTTTATGTATGTAATGTATTTTTATGTATGTAATGTATTTTTATCTATGTAACTTTATGTATGTGTATTTTATTCAAATGTAATCTTTTAAAGAAATTTGTGCGATTGATTTTGTAAACAAAAATACTTTCAATAATAACTGCGTTTTCAATAAAATTATTAATAATCATCAAAGTTAATACATATAGTTTTAACCACTAATCCATTTTCCACAGTGTACCCAATAACTGATTCCTTCCCCCAAGAAAGAAAAGTTTTTAAGTTCTTAGAAATTGGTTTATCAACTTCAATTATTTTTGCTTTAGCCATTCTTACAAACTCGCTATACTTAAAGTTATTTTTGTATAGTTACTCGCTATACTTAAAGTTATCAGCGGTATTTAAACACTAAACATCATCAGCGGTAAACATCATCATCACTAAACATCATCATCACTAAACATCATCAGCTGTAGCCTACTGACTAAACATCATCAGCGGTATTGAGGAGGCAGTTCCGCTTCCTCCTCACAAAGTAATTTAACGTTTTTAGTTAATTTCTATCTAGCTAATTGAATTTCGATAGTAACTCAATGATTTTATTATTTCATTTGTTCATCTTACT